TTGCATTTAGTTTGCTTTTTTTCAGTTGCAAAGTTAGGTTGTTGATTTGAGATCTTTCTTGTTTTTTTAAAAGTAGTTTTTATAACTATAAATTTTCCCCTAAGTACTTCTCTCATAAGTTTTGATATGTTATGTTTTCATTTTCCTTTGTCTCTAAGTATTTTCTAATTTGCCCTGTGATTTCTTCTTTGATTCATTGGTTAAGACTGTGTTGTTTAATTTTCACATATTTGTGACCTTTTCAGTTTTACTTATGTTGTTGATTTTTTTTAATTTCAGAATATTACCGGGGTACAAACATTCTAGTTACTTGAATTACTTTTGTGCAATTTGAGTCAAAGTTATAAGTGTTCCCATCACCAACTTATTTAAATTATTTATGTTCTTCTTCTCCCACTAGACATTAAGCTCCATGAGGAAAGAGATTTGTTTTTTAATGTTTTTCAAACCACTGTATCACCAGCTCTAGAATGGTTTTGGGCTCATAGTAAGCCCTTAATAATTATTTGTTAAGCATTCACTGATTTCAGATCTCAAACTCATCTGAGTCAGTGTCCCTAAAGTGTTAGGGCATTTTATTTTTGTCCATGAGCACCCAGTTTTAAGGCTGAGACAGATCACTTTATTGGTCTCTCCCTTTGGAGCATTATTTTTATTGAATGTGTTTCCTTTTTCTGCTCCTTTTTCTGAGTGTTTCCTAAGTATGTCCCCTTTTCCTGCTCTTGATTTAAAAAGAGTCTAAGAATTATGTATTTTTTATCCATTCAGGGTTCAATTCATGAAAAACAAATGAAAAGATATTGGGGAGATAATAGCAGTGTCTCACACAGCTATACTGCTGTTTATAATGTCTCTATAAAGAATGAAGATATATGTAGATAGATATTACAAAGAAGATCCTGCTGTATTTATTAAAGTTAAAAAAGCAAGTTGCAAAAGAATATGCATATAAACCATTATTGCTAAAAAAACCAAAAAACAAAAAAGTGCTGTAAATTTACATTTGTATGTGCATGAAAATATTTTGGGAAGGTTATACACTAAATTAGAATACAGCTAATAATATAGTGAAAATCATATTACAACTAATAAATGGGGATTTCATCTAATAATAATAGAAAACATTTACATGATATCTACTATAATGCCAGGCACTGTTGCAAGTGTTTCATAAACATAAACTCATTTAATCTTCAAAACCACTTTATAAGGTTTCACTAACCTTATCTTTAATTTACAAATGAGAAAATGATATATGAAGAGTTCAATAATTTGTCAAAGGTAAAAGATCTAACAAACACTAGTGGTGGAGTTTGAACCCAGGCAGTCAGGCTCCAAAGTCTATTAACCTCAACAATATATGTTACAAATATATATTGTTTTATAATTTAAAAAAAATAAAGCAAACAATCACCTCTCATTAAATCCATCCCAAAATGGCAGTAGCTGTAGTAACAGTAACAACAAAACAAAAAGAGGATGGGACTGATTCTAAGCAAAATCTAGCTGCCATTGGAGACTGTCTTCACTCTCCCTCCAACCCCTTTACCGTGGGTGTGTTTCCATCTCTCTGCAAGCCCAGTTTCCCCATGCACACACGCAGCCCAGGCAAGCCACTGAGGGTTCTAAATTGTCTGAAAGCAGCATCCTTCTTTTCTTCCCCACTTCTTCTCCCACCTGAACATAGCTGTCCACCCACTTGACAGGGATGCATTTCTCTTCACAAGTTGGTAACTACAGAATAATGGGATGTTTCCCACCAAGATGGTGGAAAAATTTGAGGGTGTAGAGAAAAGAGCCCTGTCACTCCCAGGCCTGCAGAGATCCCAGGGCCCTCCCGATGCTGCTCTCCTGACGGCCTCTCTCGCGGCTCACAGACAGGAGAGTGAGGGTGTGAGGACAGCTGACCTGTCCCCACAGGCTCGCCGCCAAGAGCGCCGGAGCGCACCTCAAGCCTGACTCTCTTTTCCCCAAAACACGCAGCAACCTCCTTTTATATAAACTCCACATATCTTACCCATGATATTGGTGGCTAGAATGGTGAAATTTCATCATCGCTGCCGGAAAAATAAAGCCTGAGGGTGAAAGAAATGCAGAGTGGATCGAGGGGAGTCAGTTACGTGGAAATGTGTTCGTATCCGGTGGCGTATTTTGGTTATAACGAGCTAAATGTCCTTTCGACCTCAGTTTCTCTTTGGTTTTGACAGTCTTTCGGTATTTACCAAGTGCTGGAAACTAGTCACTCCTGAAGCTCTATTTTTCCTTCTTTCATGAATACTTAGCTTCTCTGTTGTTTTATCCAGAAATGAAGGATCGTTAGAGCTGACTGCTGGTATCTGATAATATCGTTGTTACAAGTACGTGTATATATAAAAATGTAGTATAACTAAAAGATACGTTTTAAAGGCAGAGAAGGCTCTTATAAAAACAAAACTCGTGTCCACAATGCATTGCAGAGAGTTTGTTGGTTTAAGAAATGCAAACACAGAAAGTGTTTAGAGACCTGACCATAAAATAATGCAAGGCAAGTCTTTGTTCCTGCAATAAACCTGAGTCAAAACGGCAAACAAAGACTCTCATAAGGTTGCTCAACTCTACATTCCCTGAGAAGGTTTTTATACCTGAAGGAAAAGTTTCTGAAGTTGAATATCTTCCCTGACACTTATTTTTACCACCCTGGTTCCCCAAGTGTGGTCTGAATGAGTTGTGGAAGGGTATTAGATAATCTAAGCAGGTTTTAATTGACACGATCTGATGTGGTATATTTTAAAGGGTTAGCAACTGCAACATATGTGAAGCGTGCTACACCAATGTTGGGATTGAGTCCTGGAATTTGGAACTAAAAGGAACCTGAGAATATGTTTTAGAGATATTTCTTAGCCAAAGATCAGAAAAGATTCCAGGAAGGTCTCCTGGCTAGGATCCCACATACTTGATATAGATTATTTTTATAAGGTAAAAAAGGTTTAGAACTTAAAAAGGCAAACGCTGGTCAGAACGGGTTTTCAGCAGTGTCCTTTTTATTTTCACGGCAATGCTGAGAGGTGACTGGACGCTCCCACGGTGGCTTTCAGCTCTGCGAGTGGGGTTTCTCTGCAGCGTTTCACACATCCCGAGAGTAAAGGGCCCTTCATCCCCCTGCCCTCAGCCTCCCAACTCCTGCCCAGTCACTTCTCCATGTATATGTATATCAAGATACTATGCTATATCCCTTAAATGTCTAAAAGATTTTTAAAAAGGATTGGCCACAACGGTTGCTACGCAGACTGTTCCCTGCCTCTCCCTCACGAGGTAACCTGCGTCCTCCTTTTATATCATAGAAATAATTCATAGTAATGGCACCCGATTGTAACTTGCCCTTCAAATGTGGGGCACTGAGAACCAAGCTTCTTCCACTTTCCAGTGAGAATATTATGAATTAACAAGCACCCCCAAATTCTCATAACATAGATCAGGACATGACAAGGCCACAGAACGCCTCATCAATTCAGTCTCTCTCCTTGCGTAGATTCACTCTCCTTACAGAGCTCATGTGGGTTATTTTTGAGACACTTAATGGCCCAAATCTTGTAAAACCGTGTGCTTTTAGGTACCATTTGTCGAAACGAACTTCTTTCCAAATGAAGGAAGAATTGGTACCAGGCAAATTGTTCAGAAGCTTATTCACCTGTGACTCTGCATTGTCCAAAGATCAATCTAGCACAACTTCCAAATTGACGTTTGAATTATCTTTACAGCATTCTGCACCAATGTTTGATGACTGAGCCTTTACCTGAACTCCTGAAGTTAGTGGGCCAGGGAGAGAGGCATGCTATTACTTTCTAAAGTGTCATTCACATTCTTGGGGCAGTCTCTTTACATCGAACCATTAACTCCTGCGCTATCTCGTTCCTTCAGTTGCCTTAGCTTTGTTTCTGGAGTCAGCCAAGAGGACGCCCTCTCTTTATTTCCACTGGCATACATTGTGGCCCAAACTCTTTGTTTCTGTACCAACTTTTTACAGGCCCTTTTGCAAAGTTCTACGTTCTCGGGAAGTGGCATCAACATTAAGATGTCTCACTTATCAGTTACTAGAATCGTATTAACTTTAACGGAAGTACAATCACTTCTGTAACAGCAGAGACGAAGATGGAAATTAAGCTTCAAGCTTGAAGCGACTCCGTTTCCACACACTCGCACACACTGCCCTGGTGTCTACCACAGCTCTCATTTCATGGTCTGTGGCTCATTTTTGGCTTCCAAAATTTCTCATTGCTGTGGGAAGCTAGCTCATCCTTGAAGATATTTAGCTTTCTTACTTTAATACTTCATATAAAACCTGAGCTACATGTGAGGCTTCCTATTTATCTCAATATCTCCTCAGCACTGTGATTTTTTTAATTAAAACTTTCCATTCAACAGTTCTAGAATTTTGAAATAACAAGATACTCGTAGTATTCAAGATAAGCCATGAAAAATATTAGTTGAAATTTATTAAGTCCACCACTGACTTACGCCTCATGTGTCCTGATTGTGAAATGAAAAGAGAAACCGCAATCATGTGTGATTATCTTCCATTTCATTGAGATTTAGGTAGAACCCACTGAGAATGAGGGGCGATTAGTTTTCATGATAAGGACAAACACAATTGGAGGTGTTTCACTTACTAGTTAAAACTCTTCCCTTGATTTAAAAGCAAATGTATCCAGGAGTTCTGAACTGTGTTTTCATACATTCTACCTCCAGGATTGAAGACCAGCTTCATGACCCGGGATACCGGCAAAGAAGCCATGGCGGTGCAGTGCCATTTAACTCACTTGTTAGAAGCAGTTCATTCTCCCGTCTCTCTTGCTCAGATGTTTGTCGGATTCTGACCCACACGCACCACTTCCTAAGAACATGTCATGAAGACACCTTGCCTCTTTTTCCTTATAAACAATAACCCTGCGGTGGCATTGCTTGTAATGAAGGAAAAGAAGCCTCAGCAAAATGTCTCACCTTTCCACGTTTTCATTTAACAGAGAAGATGACTCCACAAGCAGAGAGCTCTGGCGCGGAGGCCCCAAGCTCGGAGGAAGAGCATCAGATGAGGAGGATGATGGCAAAGCGGGCAAAAATCATCAAGGAGCTGATACAGACGGAGAAGGATTATCTCAATGATCTAGAGCTGTGTGTTCGGGAAGTGGTTCGGCCCCTGAGAAATAAACAGGTAAATGCAAATGTGAGGTTGTTTTTATTTTTTCAATTCCCCCCTGGCCCCATGGAGAGCTCAATTAAACCTATGACTATTTAGCTAAGTACAGTTCAATATGGAAATTAAACTGAATTTAAGTCAAAATTTTTTCTTTGGTAGGACTGGCCCCAGACAAAACTTAAAAAGTGTTTATAAGTTAATCATTTTCCTCCCTTTTAATCAAGGCCTTTTTAAGGAAATTTTTAAATAGAGAATTAGAATAAAGGTACAAGGATGTGGTACACACAAACGCATGGCTGTTTCATTTACTGAACACATATTTATTAAGTACTTTATAGGTCATTGGCACTGTTCTCAGCACTGTGGTTCCAGTTTAGCACAAAACGAAGTCCTCCCCTTATGGGGTTTACTTCCTGGTGCAGGAAGGGAGCAGTCAGACAAGAGGCAATAAGTACACAAGCACACAAAATGAAAGCCTATTGGATGGCAGGTACAGCTGAGAAACTAAAGCAATGGAAAGGAATCGAGTCTGGGAACAAAGGGGTGATTGTTCTATGTCAAACGGGGTGGAAAATGAAGCCTTCTCTAATGAGGGGCATCTGAGCAGAGAACTGCAGGTTGTAATAGAATGTCCAGGTAGAGCAGAGAGCAAGAGCAAAGACTCTAAGGAGTAATGACCTCATTAGGGTTGTAAATGGCTCTCATCCCCAGTTCAACAATGCATTAATAGAGAAACCTAAACTAGAAAGTGAAAATGATCAGTAATCCCTCTACTCACATATCATCAACATGACTGAAACATCCCTTCAGACATCTATGTGAGCATTTACATATATATACACACAAGCATATGTATTTTTACATAAATATGATCAAAATTACATGTTATCTGTACCTTACTTGTTTCACTCAGCACTTTGTTATATGTATTATCTTTTCATGACTACTAACACTTTTATGTTTTTCTACTATTGCTGATGCTGAGAGGTACTTACGTTTGGTGTACTTATAAGATGTACTTATGTACTTTGGGCGTTTATCCCTCTATCGCCTTAGAATAAATTCCTTGGAATAAAACTGCTAGGTCAAAGGGAGGGCATATTTAAGATCTTGACAAAAATTTCCAACTACCAACCAGAAAGTTGATACTATTCTAATTTTCATTCTCATTAACAGTGATTGAAATGGCATTTTCTCTGCCATCTTCTTGAATTCTGAGCATTGTTAATTTTATAAATGTTTCCTTAATTCCTTCTGACAAATATCTTCTTGTATATTCATTAGCCTTTTGTATTCTTTTTAATCTCTAGTCATATCCATGTCTTTTGTCCTTTTTAAAAATTATACTTTATCTTTTATTATTTTACAAGACCTTTTTGTATATTAGGAATATTCTTTTTCTATACCACATGTTGCAATAACTTTCCTTAAAATTGCATTCTAATTTTAAGATGTATATTTTTTTATGTTTAAGAGGTCAAATATATCCAACTTCATGGATTCTAGGTTTGACATCTTAATATATGATTATAAAAACACCGCCAGCCAGTTGTCCCAACACCAATTATTAAACTGTCTCCCCAGTACCTACAACATTCAGAAGCAGAGTTCATAGTTCTTAATACAGAACTCTTCTCAGAAATATTAGAAAAATCATCTGGCCTGCAAATTAGGGGAAACCAGTATAGGTCAAGAGACCTTTGATATAAAAGTTGTTTTTTAGTTTAAGGCAATATATAAAGAAGAGGAGCAAAGGAAGCTTGGAGGTCTTTTCCTTCATAGAAGTCACTTTAGTGCTGCCCTGTCGTGACTTTTATCGAGCACTCACTGTGGCCAGGTCCTGCCCAGGCACTCTGTTAGCATTCTCATCCGGTCCTCTCACAGCCCCCAAGTCGGAAGATTGCCAGCAACTTTCTGAAAACCTGGAAATTCCTTATTATTCTGTATGAGTAGAAATAATATTCATGATCATGATAAAGATTTGCTCTCTAGTGTCATTGCTAAGTCTATAAAAAAACGTTCTTGGTGTCTTTTCTTTCATTTCATATAAACTAGCTGTATCTGATATAACCTCTATTCTGGAAGATGTTAACGGTTGTTAATAACATATTCATTTACATACTTAATACTTAATTTTAAATGCACATTGCATCAAACTCTACCACTATCTACCCTTCCTTATGGTACAGTCCTGTCAACTCCTATTTGAAAAATTTAGAACCTCAGCTCACTGTCTTTACATCTTCTCCCTCTTTCTCCCCAATTTTGACATCACTTTTAGGTGGTTTCAGTATTCATGCAAATGATCCATGCAACATCCAGGCTTCTCAGTTCCTTGACTTTTTCATATCCAAACGGTTTCTCCTTAACCTTATCTCAGCCATCACCCCACAGTCATACCCCAGAATGTGTCATTGCCACTAACTTTATCTCCTCAAAGTCAGAATTTCAAGCTTAGTGTTCTCTAACCCCACCCATTCTCTTTCAGCCCTCTCCTACTGGTACCATCTCTAACCATTTGTTGATTACTTATTTTGTTGATTATACAAATGTATAATAATCTCCCATGTATCTTGCTATTTCTCATGGATACCAGAAATCCTTCTAGATTGTAAAACAAACTGACGGAAAAGTTGAGTCCCTTTCTCCACGTGCCCCTCCCATTTGATCTAGTCCCTCCTGCGATCAGACTCTTCTATCACAAGACCCTGTGGACTAGCAAGCACAGAGACCCAAGCCGGGCTGATGACATGAAAATGAAAGACCTCCTGACCTTGAGTGGTCCACCCACCTCGGCCTCCCTCCCAGAGTGCTAGGGTTAGGGGCGTGAGCCAGTGCGCCTGGCCTTGAATTTCTGCTTCTGCTCTGTACTGGCTTTTCTGAACTGATGTGCCGACTTTAAAGTATTGTTCTCTCGCTGAAAGTCTGCTTTAAATAACAACACAGATATTCTTCAGTCCTTTAGAAATAAGATCACATCACAATGCAGAATCCTGTGATCTACATGACCAGGTTAGAACTTCATGGTTTTTTACAAAACCAAAGACTTAATTTTTACACTCCGCGTGGAATCCCAGCATAGTCTGGACCGTTTCCTCCATGATGAGGTCAGATGCTTGAAGTCACATTAGAAATATCAGGAAACAAAAATCTCAAAGCTTTTTTCTGAAAGTTTGTTAATAGGGACAGTTTCTATGTGTTGGAGAAGGTTCCAGTTGTGAAATACTGAATTTTAAAATGAAAATCATGTTGTGCTGCTGACCACAAGGTGACCATGCTCGTTTACAAGGTCGGTCTGGTCTCTTTCTGAGGCTCTGACATGACGCTGAGTCCTGGCCCCTCACGTCCCCACTTTCCCCTGGGGGACATCTCTGTTCTGTCATCCTAGAAGACATACAGTTTGCTGCCAGATTGGATTCAGGTTTAGCTGGGTATGAAAGTGATACATCAACATTCTAGGGCATGAAACTTCTTTGTGCAGTAAGGAAATCTTTCATCTTTGCTTGTTCAGAAAGCCTTAGCTCCAAAACAGAGGGATTTTTTCATCCTTGCACTACACAGTTTCCGGGTGGAAACTCTCCCCCTTGTCGCTGCGTTTACGAGCACCTCCTAAGCTCCATTTTAGGGCAACTTTGGTTTTCTCTAATTTTTACAATCTACGGCCCAGATCAGAAGCCGCTGGGCCAAGTGAGGAGACGAATGAATGCTTGTCCCAGGTCGCAGCAGCGCTGGGGACGCCCAGAACTGCAAGAGATGAGAGAAGCAGACGGGCTGTCACACCCAGGAAAGTCGCCGGCTCAGCCTGGCAGCAGCGTCTCGTGCTCACTGCTCAGAACCGAGAAGCAGACACCGCTGTTGCAGGTCGCTCTTATTTGTGAAGAACATGCAAGAGGATTTCAGCGGCTGCGATCGATCGCCCGCCGCGTAGCCTCTGCTGGAAGGCCGGCAGGGCGGAGGCTGCTGGCTCAGGCAGGGACCAGCACAGCCGTGCGGCACGGTCAGCCCAGGCCCCAGACCCGGCCCCAGAGGACAGTGTGGTGCAAAGCAGGCACTTGCTGGGGAGGCAAGTGTTATCATTAGTAAGATGCACTTGTTTAAGGCACTTTCGACAAGGTCCCTGATTACATGAGTTAATTAATTAATTTTAGGCCTTTTGGACTATATAAAGACATATGAAACACATTTCTTTTTCTGAGACAGAGTCTCACTCTGTTACCCGGGCTAGAGTGCTGTGGCGTCAGCCTAGCTCACAGCAACCTCCAACTCTTGGGCTCAAGCAATGCTCCTGCCTCAGCCTCCCAAGTAGCTGGGACTACAGGCACACGCCACTGTGCCCAGCTAATTTTTTCTATATATTTTAGTTGGCCAGTTAATTTCTTTCTATTTTTAGTAGAGATGGGTCTTGCTCTTGCTCAGGCTGGTTTCAAACTCCTGAGCTCAAACAATCGGCCGGCCTAGGCCTCCCAGAGTGCAAGGATTACAGGCGTGAGCCACCGCGCCCGGCCTGAAACACATTTCTTACCATCAAAAAACTAAGAGTCCCTAGTTAGAAGGGATAAGCCTCTATGGCTATGAGATGATAACTTGTAATACAAAGCAATAACTGGTAAGTGCAGACAACAAGTGCAATTGGAGGTCAGAGAAGGGACAGATCACTTCCAGACAGATTAACTGGGCAATATTTCATGGAGAATGTGGTATTTTAGCTGAATATGCAAATTAAAAGATTAAATGTTTGCCAAATGCCTATTGCATGCAATGCCTGCTGCTGAGTTCTGCCTGGGTATTTAGGAAATTTATGTCATAGTCTTGCCCTAGAAGAGTTTATAATCTGGTCAAGAAAATGACTCATAAAACATACATAAAAACACAAATAGCAATCAAAGATATATTCCAAGGCGACGCCAGAAGCCACCGTGACAGAGGCAGTCATGATCAGTTATGCTAATTAGTTACACAGCAATTAATTGCTTTAGACATTAACAGAAGGAGGCACTCACTTTCCTGACCTGTTA